CTCCTTAGTCTTTGTCTAATGTTTAAAATATCTAAAATATTATAAGAGTTAATAATTGTTAAAAAATATTAGTATTTAGATGAGTGAATTTTTTTTCAAAAATAGAATTATATTTGCAATTAGACAATTGACTTGTTTTAAGAAAAAGAAATTATGTAATTTAGAAAAATATGCTAGAATACATATATAAGAGATGAGATTTTTAAAATTCATAGGATCTATATATTATGATTCTTCATATGGTCGTGTGTATGGAATTAAGTGTAACAGATTCAATTTTTTTAAGTGTGAACAGATTAAAGATGGGATAAGATTTCTTCTATTTACGTTATCCCAATAAATCAGGCGATTTATTTCCCTATTCATAATTGTCCAACAATTACTATTTTTTAGGACACTTTTAATGAAATTGACGGGTATTTATAGATAAAATTGGCGCCATTTATTTTAATGAAATTGACAGGTATTTGTAGATAAAATTGGCGCCAAACATTGGTTATTCTTTTAATATAATTATAGATTTTGTTCTTTTTCGAATTGTTCTTCACTTTAAAATACTCGCCAAAAAAATATCATCGACCTTGTTATCTCTAAAGCCGTCACTCACCATCTTCCCTTCGCGGGAATCGTCTCCAAGAGTTCAGACCAACCTGAATTACGCTAGCATTTTGATCAATTTCATATGTACTCGCGCCGGATTTGACCTAGACTCTTGCAATTCAGCACGTTCAAGCTAGGTGGTTTAGGGTTTTAAATTCTTATTCACCACACACAAATTTGACACAAACTGCAAATGAGGGTAAAGTGATTTCTCGCTCCACGGAGGAATTCATCCACGAACAAAGCCAAGATATTCAGGTATCAATCTTCTGCTCTAAGATGCTCGTTTTGCTGAAAATCGGACCTTTAACTCTCTAGCTTTTGGGAGTTAAACATTGGGTTTTGTGGCCTTTTGCACAGAGTGTTCCGTAATTTCGATCCCAACCTTCGAACCCAAGAGAAAGTCGTCGCGTATTCAAGCGTTGTTGTTCTACAAAAAAAACTAAGTCGAGGCCCTCCGAAATTCACTGTCGGCCCGTTACCCAGCCCTCGCCCACTCGTCCTTTACGGTGACTGCAACCTACGCGTGGGCCTCCTGACCCAATCTGAAGGGTCCGTTAATGACGACGAAGCCGAATACTTTAGGTTCATAGTCTACACTCGCGTCCGCCTGGAGCTGCCCCTCCCAGCTTTGTACTTCAGGAACTGCATGGAGTTAGTTGTTGTGGAGATTAAGCACGGTATGCTGAGGTGTGGAGACGGGTTTTTCACCGCTGGGAAAATGATTGGAGAGTTTATTGCGAACAAGGTGAATAAGGAGGAGCTGCTAAAAGATGCATATGAGTGGCTGGTGAAGCATTGGCCATTGATCGACAAACGAGCCTTTGGGGTGTCGGGCTCGCTAAGGTTCGATTTGTATGGTGGTGTGGATTTCGGGCTGGGGAAGCCCTCGAAGTACGACGTAGTGTCGACTGATAAGGATAGGTCGATGTCGCTTTGTAAATCGATGGATTTCAAGGGAGTTTGCTGATTGGCTTCTCTTTGGCTAGGGAGATTGTTGATGCTTTTGGACCTATCTTCTGTCATGAATGGAAGATGTGGTAATTATTCTTCTTTCCACTTTTTTCTTTTCATGTGGTTTAGTTGTTGTTGTAGAGTGTGAGACTTGTTGTTGTTGATGGTTGAGTTGGGTTTTCTGAGTGGGATTGCAAATGAGTCGAGTCTAATCGAGCAGTATCTTTATCGATCAAGATTTGATTTTTTTTCTCATATGTGATAGGCATACAATTTTGTCTTAATGACACGCAAGGTGTGAAATATCCCCCAATATTGTTTACACCTTTGCCATAAAATAGTTTGCATCTTATACAAAACCTTTATATGCAATGTCAGTATGATGTGAACGCAGCGGTTTTCTATCCCGAGTTGAGCTCCAAGCTAAAGTCCGCAGCTTATGGTGCTCTTAAAAGGCTAAGTGGTGAGACTTGGATAATGTGTCTATACCTATGAGTGGAGCAGGTCATGGTGCAATGGCCATGTCTCATTTACTAAGGTGTATTGTCTTCTTTATCTCAGTCACTGTGACACTACCTTTTTTTTTGTTGAGATGTATACTTTTAAACATTTTGGCCTTCTAGGTGGATTGCAATGTTATTTGTGCATTGTCGAGATGGTGTTAGCCATTCTCCAGTTGTGCATGTAGCCGAAGATGATGTCTTGACTGCTGGCATGGTTGTCCTAGCATTTTTGGATTCTTACGTGAACTTTTCATGAGTCATGATCGTAAAAAAAGAATATTGTTGATGTTGACCAACAGTTCCTTCTAAGAGACTATTGTTGATGTTGACCAACAGTTCCTTCTATCTTCAACAAATAAAAAATGAAAATATTTTTTTCGCATTAAAAAATGACAGTTTTGCACGATAAGAAAACTTTCAGCTGTGTCGGGTCCTTAACTGAGTAGCAGAGGCATGCCGGAGCTGCTTCATGTGGGTGATTGAAACATTGTCCAAATGGGTCCAAACTATGTTGTGTTAGTGTCGCACTATAATGTCTATTGTTAGCGTCGATTGTCAATGTGTTGTGTCTCTCATTTGGTTTAAAACAGTGTAATAAAGTGTATATTTAGTACATTCAGAAGTGCATTTGTTTTATGTTTTATTCCATGTTATCCCTTATTGTGCTTGGTTACTTACCTCTGTAATTCACGTTTCTAATGAAAAATTGTTAGCATTGATTGTCAACATCTTGTGTCTCTCATTTGGTTTAAAAGAGTGTAATAAATTGTATCTTTAGTAAATTCAGAAATGCATTTGTTTTATGTTTTATTCCATGTTTGTTTTATGTTTTATTCAGAAAATCACCGTGGTGTACTAGTCATGGCCAAGACCTCTAGTTCAGACTATATGTACCATGAAACATATATAATAAACTTTTGCAGAAACAAAACCAAAGAATACAAGAAAACTAGTTCGCCGAATTTATCCTTGTTGATGGTCACCCATATATATAAAACATCTTAAGAAATCTAAAATTGTGGCCAAATCCTAGTAGTAAGTACAACATCATTACAACATTTTGAGTTTATTTGGACGAAGGCGGCTGTACCCAACTATTTTTATCAAACTCCGAACATAATCAAAACCTACTACAAGTCTTCCATTTCTTCCAGAGAAGAGAATTGTGAATCGATTTGGCAGAGATCTTCACGGTCAAGTGTTGTAGAGGCAAACCACTTGTTATGAGACTGTTCAAGTGTGGACGTATCACATTTACGATCCTCAACTGAGATTCATCAGCTTTTTGCCCAACATTAAACCTCTTTGAATCAATGGTTTCCTATATACAACCAAAATGTAAATTGCATCAATCTAACATTAAACATTAAAGTCCCAATGTGATCAATATCCACGCACATTCTCATCGCCCGCGAATTGACCATCTGTCACATCTTCATTTTCATCAACCTCAATACCACCTTATTCGCGTGGAATCGACCATAGACCGTCTACATTTATGCAAATACAATTATAAAGTTCACTAAAAAGACATCAAAACTAAAATATAGCTCTTAAAACAAACAGAAAGACAAATATAATGTGGGAGCTAATCTTCCACATCAGATTCTCTATATAGTAAAATACTAAAATGCAACACACTAGAGCACAACTCGAATTACAATGCAAAACTTGAACACATAACACTAATACTATATTCATATATCTGAAAAATATGATATTAGTATACATAAAAGTATCAAACTAAAGCCAATTTCAACACGTAGAACTTACATATTTAGATGTTGACCTCATTCACCCGTTCCCTCTTATCTTTATTGGTTCGCATCTCTCTCAGTAGTTTGATGAAGCTCCAATCACATTCCTCTTCCGCATCATATTTCTAAGAGAAAGGGTAAAATGTCTATTTGTTTGTAGACTCACACGGTGAGATAATCTTGAAAAGTACAAAAATCGTGAACAAAATATATCTCTTGAAAAGCACAAAAACCATTATGAGATAGGCAAGAATCATAACCTTATGTAAGGTCATATGCTAGTGGCTTTTACTATCAACTGTATAACAAAATAATTTCATGATTTGGAATACTGATAACAAACATGGGAAACAAAACACATATTATGCTTGCAGGCCAAATTATCGTGGTATGTTTGTGTACTTTCGTCGAACGAAATTAAGAAATGTGAGGCAGGAAACAGGAAAACACTAGTGGATATAACACAAAACCAGCTACAAAATATTAACAGAGCAAGCAATCATCAAAATAAAATACATAAAGAAAATGGCAACAAGGAAAACACAATCAACAGGTAAATGAAAATAAAAATCAAGAGTATCATTTATTAGAGCGTCTGAACCCGCTTGCTAACGCATCAAAACTCCATGTTTCAAACTGATGCTAGAGTTAAAACAATTTAAAAATAATATAAATCTACTACATATAGAGATAAGGGTTGATGAAAAGTTTCATACAAAAGAGCCACTTTTGCAACT